TTCCAAATTTGATAAAAACTGTAAGCCCACACACTCAAGAAGTTCAGTATACTCCAAGTGCATTAAGGAAACTACACCAAACTACCTTATAATTAAATTATTCAAAATCAGTGGTATAAAAGAAAATCTTAAAAAGTAGCTGGGGAGGGCGAGGAAGACGAGTTACAGCGAAACAGATAAAGATGACAGCAGATTTCTTGCAGAAACAACAGAAATGAGAAGGCAGTGGCACAATGTCATTAAAATACTGACAGAAAAAATTAACTAGAATTCTATTCCAATAGAAATTTCTTTTTTTGTTGTTAGTTCAGGTCTTTTATTAACCCTCTATAAAATTACTTGTCTTCCAGTTTGCTGAAGCAATAGGTTAGACAATGTTTGCCAGTCATGTCTGTCAAAGTGGCTCTTCAGAAAAACTCCAGCACCACATTTACCTGAAGGGCACACCCAACAAAGGCAACTGATTTTGCCAGTCTCATCTACCTTCTAGTATTTCAAGACAGCCAGCTCAACCTTCTTTCTCTTATGCTTATTCTTCTAGGAAGCAGTGTAAGACCTCTTCCTTTTCTTAGCACCACCACAAAGTCTCAACACAAGATGAAGAGTGCACCCCTTTTGAATGTTGCAGTCAGACAAAGTAAAAAGTACATCCATCTTCCAGTTGCTTGCCATCAAAGATCAATCTTTGCTGCATCAGAAGAAACCCATTCCTTATCCTAAATCTTGGCCTTTACATTTTCTATTGTATCCAACGGTTCAACTTCAAGAGCGATGGTCTTCTCCGAAAGGGTTTTCATGAAAATCTGCATCTCAGGAGTGGTTCCACCACAGATGATGGATCAGAAAACAGAAATACATTTTTTTAAATAAAGGCTAGATAAACTCTTTAAATATACCAAAGCTAAAAGAATTCACCATCAGCAGACAGATCTACACTACAATAAATGTTAAAGAAGTCCTCCAGACAGAAGGAAAATAATACTATATAGAAATATGGATCTATGCAAAGAAATGAGTAGTACTGGAAATGGCAATTACATGGGCAGTTATTTTTCTTATTTAAATTACTTTAAAAGACAAACTGTTTAAACACAAACAATATCAATGTAGCGTGGGGTTTATAACATGTATAATTTTTGACAGTATACTATTTTAAGACTCTTATACTAATATCGCTTGAAAGCAGACTATGATAAGTTAAAGGTGTATATTATGAATCCAACAATATATAGAGAGTTACTGTTTAATAGGTACAGAGTTTCAGTTTTGCAAGATGAGAAAAGTTCTGAAGATGGATGGTGATGAGGCACGATATGAATGTACCTAATACTATTGAGCTGTACACTTAAAAATGGTTAAAAAGGTAAATTTTATGTTATGTATAGTCTACCACAATTAAGATAAAAAATTTTTAAAAATAACTCAATACCACAAAAAATACCATTCACAACAGCACCAAAAAATATGTAATATTTAAGGATATGTCTGACAAAAGATATAAAAGATCTATACACTGTAAACTATAAAACAATGGTGAAATTCTTAAATCTAAATAAATACAGAGATCTGTTACTCATGAGTCAGAAGGCTCAACACTGCTAAGATGTCAGTTCTCCCCAAACTGATCTATAGATTCAATGGAATCCCAATCAAAATCCCTGCAAGTTTTTTTTGTGTGTGTAGAAATTAATGAATTGATTCTAAAATGAATAGAAAATGCAAAGAACCTAGAATAACTACAGCAATTTTGAAAAGGAAGAACAAAGTTCAAGGCTTACTATAAATCTATGATGATCAAGATACTGTAGTACTGGGATAAAGACAAATAGATCAATGGAACAAAACATCAATGGAACAAAACAGAGTGCAGAATTAGATCTGCACATATAAAGACAACTGATTTTCAACAAAGGTACAGAGGCAATTCCATAGAAAGAAGACAAGTCTTTTTAACAAATAATGCTGGAACAATTGGATCTTCACATGCAAAAAACTGAACTCCAATTCATACCTTGCACCATACAAGAATTAACCCAAAATGGATTGGCACCTCAACGTAAAACCCATAACTACAAAATTTCTAGAAGAAAACATAGGAAAATTGGGTTAGTCAACGATTTCTTAGACATGTCACCAAAAGTATCCATAAAAAAACAAGTTGGTAAATTGGAGTTTATTAAAATTTAAAACTTCTGCTCTTCAAAAGACACTGTTCAGAGAATTAAAATGCAAGCCAAAGACTGGAAGCAAATATTTGCAAATATATCCAATATGAGGGTGGTATCCAGAATATAAAAAGAACTCTCAAAACTCGATATGGAAAAAATAAAACCCACGCAATTAAAAAATAGGTAAAATAGGTAAACAATTTGAATAGACTTATTACCAAAGATATACAAATGACAAATAAGCATGTGAAAAGATGCTCAATATAAAATTTAAAAATTTTTAAAATAAAAAACCAAATACCATAAGTTTTTAAAAAAATTTTAGAATGTCTGAAATTAAAGAGACCAATCACACCAAATGTTGACAAAGATATGGACAAACTAGAACTTTCATAAACAGCTGCTAGGTATGTAAAATGGTAAAATCACTTTGGAAATCAGTCTGGCAGTTTCTTAAAAGTTAAATGTACACCTACCGTATGATCTAACCATTCTAGTCCTAAAGATTTACCCAAGAGAAATAAAAAGCATTTATCCATACAAAGACTTAAACAAATGTTCATAGCTTTATTTGCAATAACCAAAAACTGAAAACAACTCATAAACAGACTGTAGTATATATGTACAATAGAATACTACTCAGCAATACAAAGGAACAAACTATTGATACTCGCAACAACATGGCTGAATCTCAAAATAATTATGGTGAGTGAAAAAAGCCAGGCAAAGAGAGAGCACACACTGTATTCCATTTACATAAAATTCTAAGTAATGTGAACTAATGTATACTGACAGAAAGCAAATCAGTCTATTACTTGTTTGAGGGGATGGGAGATGCTAAAGGAGGGGTGGGATGCAGGACTTAAAAAGGGGCCCAAAAAATTTGGGGGGACTTGGGAATAATGGATATGTTCATTATCTTGACTGTGGCGGTGGTTTCACAAGTATATACATATGTTAAAACATTAAATTATGTTTTAAGTATGTTCCATTTACCATATGGCATTATACCTCAATAAAACTATTAAAAACAAAAAAAAGCACTTCATCTCCCAGAATAAAACTCAGGGTAGCAGGTTAATCAAGGGTTTAGGGGCCAAAGGAAAACATCTGGAAACACTAACCCCTCCTCCCCAACATCTGTCAACCAGGGCTCCTGGGGAGGTGGGCACCAGACTGGCAAAGAAGGGTCTGAGCCCTCTGCACTGAGGACACTGTAGGGCCCGCTGCACAGACAAGGAAACTGAAGCCCAAAGGTGTTATCTTGGCCCAGGTTACACAGCTAGTAAGTAGTCTAATCCCAGACCTGTCAAAAAGTCCTTATCTTCATCTACCACAAATGCAAAAAAGTCAACCTGAAATAGGATGAAGATGTGTGCTTGTGCGTATATGTTATGAACAGACCATTCTCTCTGCATTGAAGCCAGAGAGCCAGAACTAGTCTGGTCATCCCAGAAGAGCCAGGCATGGTGCACACAGCACCTGGACTTCCGGTGCACAAGTGTTTGGGGTGGCAGTGAGACAGGCAAGCGTGGGATGAACCTGACAGATAGGTTTGGGTTTGAGTGAGGGCAGGCTAACCGGCTCCTCCAGCACAGTCTTAGCTGCTGCCTGCCTAGGACGTCACCACCTCTGTCTCTGATCTCTACAAGAGAGGACTATCTCCACCCTGCCTGCTTCAGAGAGAAGCCATGTGACTCAGAACCACACCTTGGGCTGGGGCAGAGAAGGGTCCCAACTAAGGCCTGAGGCAGACAGTAATACTGCACAACTCCCCAACTCCCCGCCTCCCCAAGGGCTAGAGAAGCAAAAACCCAGACGCTACCAGATAAGAGGTGAACAGTCCTAGGCAGACGAGGCCCATAAGCTGGCCAACCAAGCCCCTCTGGGCCAGAAATGAATAGGCCTGGCACCCAGGCCATGAGGGAGTGGACAAGAAGCCAAATCTAGCCCCCGTCCCTGCAAACACCACCTCTAGACTGGCCTAGGTGCTGGCCCTGGCTGGTACAGAACCCACGATACCATAGCCGCCCATCTGTCTACCTCCACTTCTTGGGGCTGAGGTCTAGGCCACAGAGGATGTCCGGAGTCCAGCAGTGCATATACCCCGTCCCCTTCCACCCCTTTCAGGCTGGGTTCTGAGAGTCTACAAGGAGACAGAAAGCCTCCCCAGTAGCTCTCCACCCTTCTGCTCACAATTCATCCTTGGCTCTGGGCCTTCAATATTAATCAGCTGTGACAAGAAGGTGTGGCGGGAGCAGGTCAGGCTCGTGCCCAAGTCATTGGCTGTCACTCACACCTCAGCTCACTTGGCCAACAGGGTTACAAGATAAGGTCCTGTTAATGCAATGCTGCCCCCTTCCCTTTTTTGGAATGTTTTGAGGACTTGAGGCAACAACCTGTGCTGATTGCACCATCCCAGATATGACATGGAGGCACCCTATCTGCACAGGTAAACAGGTGGAGAGGATGACTACTTCCTCGGAACCTCAGCCTGGGGCTAACCCTCTCTTCCTTCTGCCCAGGCCTGGCAATCACCCAGGCTGTCTCACCTCCAGTCGACTCTAAGGAAATGCCCCATCACTCTAGTTGGCATATACAATCCTAGGAGGAGGAATCCTGCCTCACTGTTGTGAAAATTACACAGCTTCTCCCTTCCCAGGTACAGGAGAATGAACAAAGGAAGTTTGGAGATCACT